CCAAAACCAGCAGCCAGAAGCTTCTTCCAGGTCTCCCACATGGATGCAGAGGCCCACCCCAAGCACCCAGGCCATCATCCACTGCCTTCCCAGGCCATCTGCAGGGAGCTGGATCAGAAGTGGAGCAGCCGGAACTCCAACCGGTGCCCATATGGGATGCTGGCACTGCAGGCAGTGACTTTATAGGCTACACCACAGCACCAGCCCCAGAAATCTTAATTTTAATAAAGTCTAATATCAATTCTTTCTTTCATGAATTATGTCTTTGATACCATATCTAAAAATCATGACCAAACCCAAGTTCTTCCAGATTTTTCTCCCACGTTGTCTTCCAGAATTGTTATAGGTTTGTCTTACAATTAAGTCTATAATACATTTTCAAGTGATTTTTGTGAAGGGCATAAGGTCAGTGTCACATTCATGCAAATGCCTAGTTCTAGAATCATTTGTTGAGAAGACTGTCTTTGCTCCACTGTAATGACTTCCTCATATATCAAAGTTCAGTGGCCTTGGTGAGTCTGATTCACGTGAGTCTTTCTGGACTCTCTCTTCTGCCCCATGGATCTATTTGTCCACTCTTAAGCCAATACCACAATGACTTGATTATTGTAGCTTTATAGTAAATTTTGAAGCCAGGTAGTATCAGTACTCCAATCTTATATTTCCAATTCATTATTGTGTTGGCTTTTCTGGATCTTTGCCTCTTCATATAAATGTTAAAATCAGTGCAGGGTGTGTGGGGGGGGTGTTGTCTCAGTGGGTTAAACCACCACCTGCAATGCCAGCATTCCATATGAGCATATGAGTGCCAGCTCACGTACCGGCTGCTCCCCTTCTGATCCAGCTCCCTGCTAATATGCCTGGGAAAGCAACAGAAGATGGCCCAAGCGCATAGGCTCCTGAACCCATGTGGGAGATCTGGATGGAGTTCCCGGCTTCTGCCTTTGGGCTGGCTCACCTCAGGCCATTGCAGTTATTTGAGGGATGAACCAGTAGATAGAAGATTTCTCTTTCTACTTCCATCTATAACACTGCCTTTCAAATAAATAAATCAATCTTTAAAAACAAGAAGCATTTGGACCTTATGAATTTAAACATATCTCATGTGCTTTAATTTATTCCAATTATCCTTACCGGTGCTCACATTCTCCCATCTTTGGCAAGTGGGAGGTTGTTCCCTGGGTTGTTCCTTTCTGTAAGCCCTCAGTGGTCTTTGAGAGCTTGTTTGAGGTCTGGTATGACAAGATGCGACAGGCTCATGTTGTACCCTGTCTGTCCCAAGCCTGACATCAGTCATTTCCCTGAGGAGTTCCTTTTAGTGGCACCTGACATTGGAAGCCCACAGGCTGAGCTCCATAGCCTCCTGGGAGTATTTACTCATCTTTCCTGGCTGAACACCACGGAAATAAGGGCATGGGTGTCTCTTGCCTAACATCAAAACACACACTGACCAAGGCTTAGATGTCTAAAATGGGAAAATTCCTTCTGCTTCTCAACGACTTCACAATTGCTCTCAATTTCAGAGTGGTTTTCCACCTTGCCTGCACAGAGGAATCCCCAAGGGGGCTTTAAAAACTACTGAGGCCTGAATCCATCCCCAGGGCTTCTGGTTTATTAGACCACGTCCTAGCCTGAGCGATCAAAGTCGGAAAAATGTGAAGCTCCCAGAAGGGGATCAACCTTTGCTATGATTTTACAACCCATGCACAGAGCTGCTTGGATACCTTAATTTTAAGACAGAAATCTTATCCTGTTGTCTCCTTCTAAGCCTTGTTCACTTCTTTAGCACTGTTCCCCTGCATGCACACTGATGCTTGCCCCTCTAGCTCACTCATGTGTCACTGTTGTAGCGCATTCAAAGCTTCTGCTGCCCCTCATTTTCTGCTCTGTCCTGCACTCCAACATTCCCATGCCAGCTGCTCAGGAGTTGTGCGGTCATCCTCCACTCCTCTCACCTTCACACCCCACATCCGGTCTCTCAGGGATCTTCTCCGCTCTGCCTCCGGAGGTATCCAGCGTCTGACATTTCTCTGGATCTGCTTGGCTCCCTCCAGCACTGTCTCCTGCTGTGGTCTAAGGGGTCTCCTGCCATGCCCTTGACTCTCTTGTCTGCCCTGTAGAAGCAGCCAGAATAATGGACATCAAATCATGCTGCTCCTCTTAAAACCCTCCAAGAGGCTGCTGTTTCTGCACAATGCAGAAGCTGGAGTCGTGATTTGCCTGAACACAGCCACTGCTCCGCCCTTCTCGCTGCCTCTGTCTCCTGCCGATGTCACTTCAATCACTTTGCTGCCCATTTGCGCATCTGGAACTTTGTCCTTGCTGTTCACTCTGCCTGGATGCTCTCCCTCAGTCCCTAAGACCCACTGCTTCACTTCGTGCTGGTGCCTGCTCAGATGTCATCTGTGCGACGGCCCTTCCTGGCCACCCTGAACCAAAGTGCTATGGATACTCCATCGCTCTCGGGGCCTTGACCAACTCCTGCTCCTAGCTAGTGTGTTGGGTTGGCCCTGACCATCACTGTATCACGCAGAAAGGTGGCCAGGTACACCTGGGAAGGAGCACGTTCCTGAAAGGATCATGCCCCTTGGCCAGCGCCGTGGCTCACTTGGCTAATCCTCCACCTGCGACGCCGGTGCCCTGGGTTCTAGTCCTGGTTGGGGCGCCAGATTCTGTCCCAGTTGCTCCTCTTCTAGTCCAGCTCACTGCTGTGGCCCGGGAAGGCAGTGGAGGATGACCCATGTGTTTGGGCCCCTGCACCCGCATGGGAGACCGGGAGGAAGCACCTGGCTCCTGGCTTCGGATCGGTGCAGTTTTTTTTCCAAACACAAAACCCATGTGTTTGGGCCCCTGCACCCGCATGGGAGACCGGGAGGAAGCACCTGGCTCCTGGCTTCGGATCGGTGCGGTGCACTGGCCGTAGCAGCCACTATGATAATTTAGTTAGGAATAATAATAATAAAAAAAAAAAAATCACAAACTCTTCTCCTTGAAACCTAAAAAGGATTTGAGGGGTTAAACCAAAACAAGTCAACTTTTCCTTCCCTGTCACCAATATAAACTCACAAATACGCATCTGTCTGCTTGCCCCATGGGGCACTGACAACCCAGAACGGAGAAGGGAAGGCTGCCAGGGCTGGGGGCGGAGTTTAGACTCTTCCCTCTGATTGACGAGCACCTGCAGTCTCTTCCCCACAGCCCATCGTCCCTTTTCCCCGTCCCCCCATGCTCTCCTCTGGGAAGAGAAAAAGTAGACACAGGCACAGCTCTGGAGAAATCAGTATATTAGGGGAGAGACCACAGAATTAGGTAAACAAAACATCCCAGAATCCTCCGCATCCTCCCATAGCTACTGTTTACTATCCTAATCCCCATCTTGGAGGTTCAGCTCCATCTAGGGTCCCCCTCCCCCGCCAAGCCACACCATCCCTGACCCTTGCCAAAGACTTAAACATTTTTTAAGTTTATTTTTATTTGAAAGGCAGAGAGAGAGAGAGAGAGAGAGAAACATTCTATCTGCTACTTCATTCCCCAAATGCCCACAATAGCCAGGGCAATATTCTTGCCTGGATCCTGTCCTAGAGGTACTGATTTAATGGGCCTGGATGTCAGAAGGTTTTTTTGTTTTGTTTGTTTTTAAAGATTTATTTATTTATTTGAATGTTAGAGTTACTCAGAGAGAGAGAGAGAGAGAGAGAGAGAGAGATAGGTCTTCCATCTGCTGGCTTACTCCTCAATTGGCCACAATGGCTGAAGCTGCGCCATTCTGAAGCCAGAAGCACCGGTCTCCCACACTGGTGCAGGGGCCCAAGGACTTGGGCCATCTTCTACTGCTTTCCCAGGTCATAGCAGAGAGCTGGATCGGAAGTGGAACAGCCGGGTCTTGAACTGGCACCCATATGGGATGCTGGTGCTTCAGGCCAGGGCATTAACCCGCTGCACCACAGCACTGGCCCCAGTCAGAAATTTTGTAAACCTCTCCAGGTGACTCAGCTGTGTAGTCAAGATTGAGAACCACCGGCATTACAGTAAGGACACTGTCTCTTATTCATCCTCTTGGGTAGTTTGCATTACAGAGTCTTAGTTTATGAAATAACTCAAAAGGGAACCAACTCACACTTGCTAAAAAACCTGAAGCTTCAAACCCAAAGCTCACAGAGATTAATAACTTTGATTTATATCATGCTTCTCAGAGTGACCCTTGGAGCAAGATCACCTGAGGACAGAATAAATGTATTGACTCAGCTCTCTGTCCCTCTGCTCCCAGCTGTCCTGGCATCTTGAGAGAGCTGCAATTCTGTCCACCATCACGCTAGGAGGCTTGAACAAACACCAGCAGTTTCTAGAAGCTCAAGGCTACGTCCCTGGGGTGATCTAGCCCTCCTTGAGTTCCTGCCTAGGGAAACTGAAGGCTGCCAAGAGAACTTACTGCTTGTTCCAGCCAACACCTGACCGCAGGCTTCTCTCCATTTTTTTTAAGAGCATTTACTTTACAAAATTTACAACTCTAAATCCTTCCTCTGTGCCCTTGAGATATACACATATATGCATCTCCTCCCTAGGAGTGTCTTTCTCAAGGACCTGGTAGCCATCCCTTGGAAATGCAATCAGAAAGCCAGGGCTGACTCCTGTGGGCTCTGTGGGAGCCCCGAAGCCTGACTTTCATAAGCTTGTGCTGTCATGAGCTGCAGACAGCCTAACACATCCACCAGTCCCCCGCCCCCTGCTTCTTGTACTTTTCCACTTCCCTGACTCCTCCAGCCTTGTTCCCTCTCCTTAAGCCAGCTTTCTTCTTCTAAAATTCCCAGTCACCTCTGCAGTGATAGGAGCTGACCTGAGTTCTAAGCCAAGGACTCCCCCTCCTAGTGCAGCAGCCACTGAAGTTCATTGCCTTCAACTTGTGCCCAGCTTTATTTACAACAGTAAAAAGATCCTGGGGTGACCAGCGTGTATACTCAAGTTTGAGAAGTACTATCTGATAACAACATTTATCATCAGACTTTTTTTTTTTTTTTTTTTTTACTTATTTGACAGGTTGAGTTAGACAGTGAGAGAGACAGAGAGAAAGGTCTTCCCTCCATTGGTTCACCCCCTAAACGGCCACTACGGCCGGAGCTGCGCCAATTCGAAGCCACCAGGAGCCAGGTGCTTCTCCTGGTCTCCCATGTGGGTGCAGGGGCCCAAGCACTTGGGCCATCCTCCACTGCCTTCCCAGGTCACAGCAGAGAGCTGGACTGGAAGTGGAGCAGCCGGGACTAGAACCAGCGCCACAGGCGGAGGATTAGCCAAGTGAGCCACGGCGCCGGCCCCCATCATCAGACTTCTAATAAACAGCCAGGAATGCAGGCAGGAGTCACTCTTCCCATCTTACCAATGAGGAAAGCTATGGTTAAAGTGGAAGTTAAACCCACCTCGTGACAGTCATTGCTGTGTCAATAACGGGATGATAACAGGAGAGAAAAGAGCACCATTGCATGCGAAGACCCAAGAGAAACAGGTTGGTGAACGCGAGAACAGCAAGGTTTCTATTTACGCATCCATCGGTGCAACGTGCTCTCGGGCTCTACTCCTCTTTAGTTGCAAGAGAACAGTGTCAGCATCATCAGGTGTCTTCTAGGCCCCAGGGAACGCTGCTCTGAGCTCTCCTGTTACCCGGTAGGTAGCTGATCACAGCTCCTGGGGGATGAGTCATTATACTAACTCCACATGGGTACAGAGGGTGTTGCTTCAGAGACTGCAAACGGCCAGGCCCCATGCAGCCACCATCGCTGAAGCCAGCCCCAGCCCTGGCTCAGCCACGAACCACTCACCTCACCAACGCTCCCCTTCCCCAGCTTTCCTTCCACCTCACTCTCCACTCCCGCTTTCCAGGGTAACGCCGGCTGCTGCCTCCTGGGTGCGCTGCTCCTCTGACTCCCACCTCTGCCTTCCTATTGCTGGACCAATTTGGCACCTTTAGGGCACTGCTGGGACAGAGGGCTCTTGCTGCCTTTATAGTTATTCACATGGTAAAACTCCAACATAACAGATTTATGACACTACGCCCTTTACACTTTGGTTCTGCCCTGGATTTACCAAAGTAGGCCAAAAGAACCATGGAAAAGCAGCTACTAATTCTAAATACCAAGGGAATCCAGTGGCAAAACCACTACCATGAATGAGGGGATGAATTTTTCTGGTCACTTTCAAGCCTCTCTGATCATTAGAACTAAGGGAGTCTCCCATCCCCGTTACCCCACACCCATGGGGAATACTGATTTTTCACTCTCAATCAGCACTTTGGTAAATATTTTCACTATTGGCTTTCTCAGGAAAAACTTGTATATGCAGATGATTTCTGATACATAATTTTATTAGAGCCAGAGATGATCATTTTTGTCTAGAACAAATCTCTGAGGTTAGAATGGAAGACGAGGAAACCAGAGATTCCACTTTGTAATTTACCCTTACCAAACTATCCCATCACACATCAGTTCTTTTATAAGAGTACCACTCTGTTATCATACCACAAATCATTAATAGAAAATGCACAAGCCTGGAACCTAATGTTCTCTAATCTTCAAGCCAATCATCAACTTCTCTCAGATTTTTGACAACATGAAAATGAAAAATCTTTTCAAATAACAGCATTCAAATGTCACATCCTTTCGTGATGAGGTACAGCAATCAACAGCTAGCCTCGTACTTTCTAAGTTTCAGCTTAAAGAACCCTCGCTAATTCCTTAGGTCTCTGTCAGTCTTCTTTAGGGGCTATTTTGCCTTACTGGGTCTCAACAGGATACAGTAATATTAAAATACGTTAATAACCATACTGAGAGTGCGGTGTCAGTGGGCTTCCGACTACTGAGGGGCACGTGTGGAAACACAGCCCAGCCAGGGAGCACAAGTGCCCAGAGGCATCCTGAGCTGGCTGGTTTCTCGGGATCATTTTTTCTCAGAGGCCGAGGTCTGGGATGTGATCTTCTTGGCAGCTTCCAGCACAGAAGGTAGGTTTACTTTGTCTCCGAATTCTTTTTCCCGGTGCTCAAGAAGAACGCCCTAAAAGGAAACAAGCAGGAGCATCAGTCCTCCTGACGCCAGAGACACTGGCCTTCCAAGCCCCGAGCTTGGGCAGCAGATAACACCGATCAGAATCTGGCCTGTATGGAGTTCAGTCTTTCAGCGAAAAGTAGGACCAGGAAGGCCCCGGCACAGCATCTGGACTGTGCAGACAGCACTTCGGGAGCAGGAAGTCGGACGAGATTAACCGAGACAAGGACATCAGAGGCAGGCTTCATAGCTGATGAAGCCTGGAAGGCAACCAGGCTGTCGACAAGGGTGGAGACACAGGTAAAAGACTATTCTAGGTGAAAAGAACAGAACAAAGGTAATGCAGAAAAGATGGTGTAGAAACGGAGTTTAAGGGTCAGGTATTGGAAACCTTCTGAAAAAGATCTTCCTAAGAAACCAGAGGCCTGGGGCCAGCGCTGTAGCGCAGCAGGTTAAAGCACCAGCCTGCAGCGCTGGCATCCTATATGGGTGCCGGTTCTAGTCCCGGCTGCTCCACTTCCAGTCCAGCTCTCTGCTATGGCCTGTGAAAGCAGTGGAAGATGGCCCAACTCCTTGAGCCCCTGCACCCGCGTGGGAGACCTGGAAGAGTTTCCTGGCTCCTGGCTTAGTATTGGTGCAGCTCTGGCCGTTGTGGTCATTTGGGGAGTGAACCAGCAGATGGAAAACCTCTCTCTCTCTCTGGCTCTACTTCTCTCTGTAACTTTGTCTTTCAAATAAATAAAATAATGCTTTAAGAAAAAAAAGAAAGAAAGAAACCAGAGGCCACACACTTCTGAGGCACTAAGATGCAGGCTACTGCTATACTCCCCTACAGTGGCAAAAGTGATAAAAATAATGCATGTAAGATCAGCATCAAGGAATCCTGGTTGAAGAGTTCTTTGGCCTATTACATCCAGGAACTCAAATTAAAAATTAAAATCTGGGAGCTGGCACTGTGGTATAGTGGACTACGCCTCCACCTGCAGTGCAGGCATTCCAAATGGGAGCCAGTTCAAGTCCTAGATACTCTACTTCCAATCCAACTCTCTGCTGATGACCTGGGAAAGCAGTGGAAGATGGCCCAAGTGGTTGGTCCATTGCACCCATGTGGGGGACCTGGAAGAAGCTCCTGGATCCTGGCTTGGGATCAGTCCAGCTCTGGCCATTGCAGCCAATTGGGGAGTGAATCAGCAGATGGAAGATCTCACTCTCTGTCTCTCCCTCTCTGAATAACTCTACCTCTCAAGTAAATAAATAAAATTTTTTTAAAAAATAAAAATCTGTAAATACAGTGTATCATTATTTAGAAAATTTCAAAAATTAAAAAAAAATAAGTAAAAAGCCCCACCACAGTGTAGCAAGCACAGGGAAGTAGATCTCAATAAAGCATAATGTGGTATAAAAATATTGAGAATTATGATATGTATGAATGTATTAAAATGCTCACAATATACCTCTAAATGGGAAAAAAATCTAGCTTCACAAGCTACCACATTCTAAAACAAAAGCCTTCTTAGATCTGTTCCTTTAGGTATCCATTGGATGGCTCTCCCTAGTTTCTACTGTTCCACTGTCCTCAAATTTCTATTGCACACACATCTTTAAATTAAGAATGACTTCAAGAATGTTATCACAAAGAAAATCATCACTGACTGGCACCTGGCACTGTGAGACCGCAAAACCCTACTCCCAAGAAGAACTGAGTTAAGTCCTGATGCTCAGTGGGCCCAGTCGACTCTCCACCAGGGAGGGTGAAGGCCAGAGCCCCAGGGAGTAACAACAAAACCAAACAACACACCTAGCAACGCCAGGAACGTGCCAGCCAGGCCCATGAGCACCAGATGAGTCAGCATCGCCAGGCAAGAGAAGGCTGGCAGGTGTGCCAAGCCCTGCCCTAGAGGCCACAGGAAGAAACCCCACAAGCCAAAGTGGGGAGAGGATGGGCAACCCTCCAGAGAAGTGGCCTGTCCAGGTGTAAGAGCCTTTGGAAGGGGTTACTGGAACCCCCTCTGAAGACAGGCTTCGGGCAGGGCCAGGGCTGGGTCTCTGGAGCTGGAGCCGTTTGAGTTACTGCCACTGTTCTGCTCACTAGCTGTGTGTCTCTGGCTGATTTCTTTCACATCTTGAGGCCCGTTTTTTACCTAGAGATTGGAATAAAAACACCTAATACCCCACAGTTGGTTGAGAAAGGCAGACCACGTAGATGAGCACCTGGAATGAGGCTGGCGCACACAGGAGCCATTATCACGACAACATCGTAAAATATTTTCCAGAAAAACAGCTAGTAGGCTTGTGTTAAATCAGACACCATTTATACTAAGTTCTAATACAGCTAAGAGTGAGCAGTTAGTACAGTGTAAAAGGAAGAGATCAGAAATAATGACTACAACCCTGGGATTTCCACTCTCACTTTTATTCCTCCCAAGTTGGGCACAGTATATGGTTACCAATATTATAAGTGAGAGCCAACAATGCAGACCAATCCCGTCTTTCTCCAGGAAGCAAATACTCTCTACACGTGCTAATATGCAGGGACAAGTCTGGTCTGCAGGTGCATGTGCCATGCCCTGCCTCCACCCACTCTGCCCCAGCCTGTCTGCAGGGGGTCAGTTACCTCTCCTGGGGCAGCCCTGACACCAAGGCCCTCACTGGAAAAAGCACAGTCTCCCCGATATTTCCTTGCCACTTTCCCTGACTAGGCCTCTTTTAATCCTTCCTTCTTCTTCACCTTTTTTTTTTTTTTTTTTTCCTGACAGGCAGAGTTAGACAGTGAGAGAGAGAGAGAAACAGAGAGAAAGGTTTTCCTTTTCGTTGGTTCACCCCCCAAATGGGTGCTATGGCCGGAGCGCTGTGTGGATCCAAAGCCAGGAGCCAGGGGCTTCCTCCTGGTCTCCCATGCGGGTGCAGGGCCCAAGCACTAGGGCCATCCTCCACTGCCTTCCCAGGCCCCAGAAGAGAGCTGGACTGGAAGAGGAGCAACCGGGACAGAATCCGGCGCCCCAACCGGGACTAGAACCGGGGTGCTGGCGCCGCAGGCGGAGGATTAGCCTAGTGAGCTGTAGCGCCGGCCTCCTCTTCACTTTTATCATCCATTCTTGATGACCTGTGGACACTCCACCAGAGTTAAGTTCATAAGCAGAATGAAAATAATACTCTTGTTCAAGAACAGAAAACAAAACTTGAAGTCAGAAAACCTGGATGGAGGCCCCAGCAGTGCCAAGGATGAGCTGTGGTCCTTGGTGCAGTCGCTTATCCCCTCGGTCCCAAGTTCCCTGTCTGCACAATTGTGACAGGACCATGGTGAGTGAGTGGATCCAGCTGCACGGTGCCAGCAGAGGGCAGCTGTGGGATACATGACAATTGCCCTCCCATCCCCTTCTCGTGTTCCCTGGACTTCTGGAGGAAAGGCTGGGACTGCTCAGATAAGCAAAGTCAATCTCCTGGCTCCAGGTTTGTGGCCCCAGCTAAAAGACACTGCAACACCCACAAGTAAACACTGTGGTGCAGGGGGGGCGGGTCCCCACTACTCCATGTACTCATCCAGCTCCCTGCTAATGCCCCTGGAAAAGTAGTGCGTGATGACCCAAGTACTTAGGTCCCTGCCACCCAGGCTAGAGTGCCTGGATCCCGGCTTCTGCTGGGCCTTGCCCTTGCTGATAGAGGCATCTGGGGGGTGAATCAGCAGATGGAAGATCGTGGTCTTTCTCTCTGCTTTTCAAACACATATAAACTTACCTGTTTTCCTGATCCCATCACAAAGACTCCCCCAAGTATGACGCCTTCGCCTTCCAGATTTCCAGAGAAGCCACCATTCCAAGCCCGGAAAAAGCTGTACCACACTCCCAGACGGACAAATCCCATAAACAGCATCTTCCGCTTTTGTGGACCATAGAACCTTTTCTACAGGGTGAGAAAGACAGACTCTAAATGAGTGTCTATAGCCCTGGCTGCCCCAGGGAGGAAAAGTTCCCAGCAGAGCATCTGTTCTCTGGCAAAGACCTGAAGCATGCTGGTTGGTGCCTTCTCCCCCACCCAATACACACAGCCTCCACCCAGCACCACTCTCAACTGCCCAAGGAAACAGAGAACCCTGCCGGGTCCATCTTCCACCCTCAAGGCAGTCCCAATCTAGGGAGGCAGATTTGCAGCCCCCTAGACTCAGCTTCTCACTTGTTCTTGAGCCTGGCAGAGTGGGAACAGTGCTACACTCTGCAGATGCAGAGCAGAGGGGAAGAAATATAGCTGCAATGAATTGACGGATGGGGATTGGTGCCACGGCCCCTACTTGCATTGGGAGGCAGGGACCTGATGGGGTGTCAGCTACTTCCTGCCCTCCTGGGTCACACGGCAGGAAGGGCTTCAGGAATAACAGAGTTCACCTTTCAACTGGCTGGTCGTGCTCCGCTCAGGCCTGGGAAAGCCTCTGATATCCAGGGCCACTGCAGGAGAGCTCGGCCTCCAGCTCCAGACCAGACGTACCCTGAACCGCCCAGCTCTCCACTGCTGGGCCTGGCCCCACCAGCTCACAGCACACACACCTTTTCATCCAGGAAGATCTCTCCTTTGAAATAAGGCTGGAAGTTCTTCACCTCACTCCTGATGTCCTCCTTCACCACTGCGTACAGGGGGACGCCCAGCTCATCCAACTTGGGCTTCAGGGAAGACAGGTCTGCAGCTTCCTGCGGGAGGCAGGGAGGCTGAGGGACGCGAACTGCTGGGCCCCGGTGGCCAACAACCCACCTCCCCCATGGGCCCAGAGCATGGCTGGTACAGAACCCAGAAACAGCTCATGCCCCGGTGACCCAGCGCTTGCCTGTCCCAGCTGGGCACTGGGTCTCAGAATAAGGTATCAGGTCTCCGATTCTTGTCTCCTTCACAGTGGGAATTAGAGGCGAGGCTCCAGCCGCGTGTGTCCCTACTTCAGCTGAGGGAGCAGCCACAACCAAGAGGTGGCACCAAACACCTCCTCCACTCCTGCTCCACATTGCTCGTACCCCATCCTCTCCCCTGCACTACAGCCAACTGGCACAAGGACCCAGCAGACACACTGCACTAGGGCCAGGTGAACGATGCTGGCCTCCACACTCTGGCCCAGTCAGCTCCCTCCCTTTGCAGTAATCTTCCCTTTATCTCCAGCTCACATGCTACCCTCTGAAAAGCATCCTCGCTCTAAAATCATCTGCCTAGCTAGTGCAGTCTGCAGCAAGGCTCTACTCGTCTGTGCATATTCTACTCACCCTGCTGGGTGACATCTGTGTGTTACCACTAATTTGAGTGCTGCCACTCAAATTCCCCAAAGCAGCTTATAGTTAAAAGGCTACGTCTTCCATTTCTTTGGACCCCTCAGTGCCTAAAACATGGCTGGAACTAAATACCAAGTGGAGATTTGAACATTGGTGGACAGTGGGGAGAATGCAGCTGAGAGCCACAGACGGCCTTGGCCCTCCATGAACTGTATGCTGATGAATAAATGAAGTTGCGTGAGTTGTGATAAAGCTCCTTCATTCACATTTGGTGTCAGAATTAAAGAATTGGGGCTGGTGTTGTGGCATAGTAGGTTAAGCCTTAGCCTGTGGTGTCAGCATCCCACATAGGTTCAAGTCCCAGCTGCTCCACTTCTGATCCAGCTCCCTGCTAATGGCCTGGGAAAGCAGTAGAAGATGGCCCCTGCACCCATGTGGGAGACCTGGAAGGGGCTCCTGGATCCTGGCTTTGGATTGGCTCATCTCCATCCATTGTGGCCATTTGGGGAGTGAACCAGCAGATGGAAGATCTCTTTGTCTTTCCCTCTCTCTGTGTGTAACTCTGCCTCTCAAATAAATAAGTAAATCTTAAAAAAAAAAAAAAAAAAAGATGAACAAGAGACAAACACAATTTAAAAAAATGAATTAAAGAATCAACAGGAATCCCTTTTCAATGTGACTCACTGTGTTTTTTTTTAACATTTTTTAAAATTTTACTTGAAATTTAGAGTTTCACAGAGAGAGAAGGAGAGGCAGCTAGACAGAGAAAGGTTTTCCATCCACTTTTTCACTCCCCAGATGGCCACAACGGCCGGAGCTGGGCCTATCCGAAGCCAGGAGCCAGGAGCTTCTTCTGGGTCTCCCATGTGGATGCAGGGGCCCAAGGACTTGGGCCATCTTCTGCTGCTTTCCTAGGCCATAGCAGAGAGCTGGATTGGAAGAGGGGCAGCTGGGACTAGAACCGGTGCCCACTTGGGATACCGGCGCTTCAGGCCAGGGCGTTAACCCACTGCACCACAGCGCCAGCCCCGACCCACTGTCTTCAACACAAATACGCTGCTATACAATGGTAACCACATTTCACTTTCCAGAATAGGAAAAAATAATAGCTAACACAACAGAACTGATTGTACTTGGCATCTCAGGGTGAGCAGCAGTTTGCCTAGAGCAAAGAGGACTGCAGCGTCGGGAGGGCACAGACCACCTGTTTGAGGACAGCAGGTCTCCTGACTCACTTTTCCTGGGCTCTCTGCACTGCCTGTAGCACTGTCCAAGCCATGAAGTAGAAACTGAGTCATGCAGCTCCTCCCTGAGCCACTCAAAATAACTCCGACTGCCACCCACCCAAGTTTCCAAAACTGCTCTGCCAGGGCACAGGCCAGTGTAGAGGCAAGCAGGTTATAATTAGGGAGAGATAGTACCCTTGGAACCTTCTGGGTTTCGACAGCCTCCAGCAATCAAATCAAACAGCATTCCATGTTGGAGTCAGGAGGCACCACAGTTCTGGAAACAAAGCCCTTAAGTTTAAAGCCCCACCTCTCGTGGCGGCCTTAACCGACATCCGTGTCCTAATTCCTGGAATCTGTGAACCTGTTCTGTTACATGGTAAAATGGAATTAAGACCATGAAGTTACAGTTGCTCATCAACTGACCATAAAATAAGGAGATTAACCTGGATTTTCTCAGGGAACTGGATATAGTCATCAGGCTCCTTAAGGGCAGAACAGGGAGGCAGGGGAGGCAGTGTCAGAGTGACGCAGCAGGAGGAAGACCTGAACAGGCATGGCGGGCTTCACAAATGGAGGAGGGGTGTGAGCCAGCGAGCACAGGTGGCCTCTGGAAGCTGAGGGTGACCGACCGAGGGGTTCTCCTCCACAGGCTCCAGAGAGACGAGACCAGATTCCACTCCCTCCACGGTTGTAAGATAAATGAGAGCCACCGAGCTTGCGAGAATTTGCTATAGCAGGCGATGAAATAACTAACTCACTTCCTCAAGCAGTTTGGCTTTGTCAGTTTCCTCCCCTGGAAAATGAGAGTAAGGACAGCCAGCTGTTTTTCAAGGGACATGGTGAGGACCTCATGAGTTCACAGGCACCAAAGTGCCGCGAGGGCAGCATAGTGTACGGCTTTGCATGCACTCAGCAAAGGAACAGAGTCTTCCCCAGTGCAACCACACAAGCAGGGGTGAGATTAGCCAGGCTGAAGGGCCATGCCCCAGGGTTAAGGAGCACAACCGGAAGGATGATGATGACCACCAGGACAGGGCCAACACCACTACATGAGAAGCAGCACTGTCATTTCCAGTTTGTTCTAAGTGCGATGGTGATTGCAAACACAGGTTTTCTGCTACCAACTCGGCAGGCCATCAAACCACACTGGCCCCTGATTTACCCATCTATAAAGGGATACGTCGGATGCAGGTAACCACAGTGTTCCCTAACATTAGCATTTTGTGCTTCAACAATCACACTTCTGGGACAGACATTTAACTTAGAGGTTGAGACACCAATAAAGAGGTCCGAGTCTCAGGCTTGGCACTGTGGCATTAACAGGCTAAGCTGTGCCTGTAACACCCCATCCCAAATTGGTGCCAGTTTGAGTCCTGGCTGCTCCACTTCCAATCCAGCTCCTTCCTAGTATTCCTGGGAAAGCAACAGATGACCCAAGTCCTTGGGGCCCTGTACCCATGTGAGAGACCTAGATGAAACTCCTGGCTCAGGCTTTGGCCCAGCCCCAGTTGTTGTAGACACTTGGGGATTAACCAGTGGATGGACACTTTCTCTGTCTCTGTGCCTCTCATATAAATAAATAATAAAAAATATATATATTTTAAAAACCACACAGAACAGGAGTTGTGGCACAGTACATTAAGATGCCACTTGGAATGCCCATATCCCATATCAGAGTGCTAGTTTGAGTCCCTAGTACTTCACTTCTGATCCAGTTTCCTGCTTATGTGCCTGGGAAAGCAGCAGATAATGGCCCAAGTATCTGAGTTCCTGACACCCATATGGGAGACCTGGAGGGAGTTCCTGGTTCCTGGCTTTGGTCTGGCCCAGCCCTGGCTATTGCAGCCTTCTGGGGAATGAACCAGCTGATGAAATATTTCCTTCTTTCTGCCTCTCCTTCTCTGTGTCACTCTTCCTTTCAAATACATAAATAAAGAAACCTTTAGGGATGACACTGTGGCACAGTGGGTTAAAGTCCTGGCCTACAGTGCTGGCATCCCATATCAGCACCAGTTCAAGTCCCGGCTGTTCCACTTCCGATCCAGCTCTCTGCTATGGACTGGGAAAGCAGTAGAAGATGGCCCAAGTCCTTGGGCCTCTGCACCCACGTGGGAGACGTGGAAGAAGCTCCTGACTCCTGGCTTGGGATCACCTCAGCTCTGGCCATTCCAGTCATTTGCAGAGTGAACCAGGGGAATGGAAGACCGCTCTCTCTCTCTCTCTGGCTCTACCTCTCTCTGTAACTCTATCTTTTAAATAAATAAAATAAATATTTTTTAAAAAAAATTTTAAAAAAAGGTTATAAAAAAATCACAGTCACACTCCTCCCTTCCCTTGATAAGCTTCCTCACTTGCTAGACAGGAAGTCTAGCATGGGGAAGCCAGTCAGGGAGCCCCAGTGTTCCCCAAACTCTCCTGTCACTTATCAGCAGGACTGAGCCCACTGAGCTCCAGATGTGACACTGAGAGCACTTGGCGAGAAGGCAGGGCTACCACGTTGGAGTGCGTGGTCTCAGCTGTCCACGATGCACTCCAGGTGGGTCTCTGAGAAGAGGCGTGTAGGCAGGTCTGTTTTATTTATCTCTTCTTCTTCTGACAGGCAGAGTGGACAGTTGAGAGAGAGAGACAGAGAGAAAGGTCTTCCTTTTGCCATTGGTTCACCCTTGCGCTGATCCGAAGGCAGGAGCCAGGTGCTTATCCTGGTCTCCCATGCGGGTGCAGGGCCCAAGGACTTGGGCCATCCTCCACTGCACTCCCTGGCCACAGCAGAGAGCTGGCCTGGAAGAGGGACAACCGGGACAGAATCTGGCACCCCGACCAGGACTAGAACCCGGTGTGCTGGCGCCGCATGGTGGAGGATTAGCCTATTGAGCCATGGCGCCGGCTCTAAAGACAGGTTTTGAAGAGCTTCTCTGTCATGCTGCAGCTTCAGCACAGTCAGGAGCTGACCATGCTGGTATAGGGGAAACCCAGCCCCCTCATTTCGGCAAGCATGCGTCTGTGCTGACCAGTAGCAACGTGGACTTGGACTCTGCTGCTGTTCTTGATTAAATGGAAGCTAGTCCAGGACCCAGAGGGTACAGCCCAAGATGAAAGCCTTGAGAGTTCCAAAGGAAAGTCAGACGCATTGCTAACCTTAGTGGGGATGGCAAGTTGTTAAAAACCAGACACAGAGCATAAGTCAAAAGAAATTCCTACAGCAAATGACAGAGCACAGATCAGTGCTGGTAAAAGGGAAAGTGAGCCTATGGTTCTTCGGCCCTGGCTGCAAATGCACTGGCTCCCACTCGCCAGGATCCTTTTCTCTGAACAGATTTCCAGACGCACCCACCTCTCGACAGAGGAAGCAGCCCGGCCTCCGTACTGCCATAATCACGGCTCCATTCTTTTCCCAGAGCTCCTTTGCTTTGAAAGTCCTTGGTTCTGAGGAAGAAGAAAAGGAAATTTATGATGTCCTAGCCCAGTCCAGCTCTGTACACCCCTGCCCTAGCCACTGGGCAGTCATGAACCACGCTGAGCCAAGCCGAGGTCAGAAACGAGGCCTAGGAGAGGACCTGGACAGGCGTTCCACACGTGGGAGAAGGCAAACAGGGAACACAGACAATATTCATCTTGAGAATCCCACACTCTCTTCCCCCATAAAAATCTATTTGCAAACTGGGACATTTTGGGGAAAATGGGTATTATTTATTCTGGTCTTTGGACATTGTAATAATCCTTCAGGGCAGAAGCATGGCTACAACTGAAAAAGTCTTGTACTGTGACCAAAGAAACATCACTCTTACAAGCATACTCAAAGGAATCAAAGGAAATCATTACACGGGCCATGTTATTCGCAGGAGGGAAGAAGACCTGTAGTGAGGAAGCGCTCTGGGATGGTGCAATGCTGCAGCCCAGGCCCGGCTGAAAAGCTCAGACTGATTCTGAAATCCAGCCATGTGGCCCCAGGCCAGCTATTCTTCCTCTTTGGACCTCATTTTCTCACGTGTAAGGTGTGGGTATCTAAGGGGCAATGCTGTGGCACACTGGGTTAAAGCCCTGGTCTGCAGTGCTGGCATCCCATATGGGTGCCAGTTCGAGTCCTGGCTGCTCCACTTCCAATCCAGCTCTCTGCTGTGGCCTGGGAAAGCAGTGGAAGATGGCCCAAGTCCTTGGGCCCCTGCACTCATGTGGGAGACCTGGGGGAAGCTCCTGGCTCCTGGCTCTGGATTGGCCCAGTGCGCTGGCTGTAGGGGCCATTTGTGGGGTGAACCAACGGCAAAAGGAAGACCTTTCTCTCTGTCTCTCTCTCACTAACTCTGCCTGTCTTAAAAAAAAAAAAAAAAGTGGTTATCTAAATAGCTCCATTTTGGATTGCAGAGAGCAAGAAAAAGCAACTATGGTGTGCTCACTCCAGTGTCTGGGATGAGAGTTAGTGAGGGATCAGGAAGTATGAACCCTTGTCCCCTTAATATTTCCCAAAGCAATCCATGCCTCTGTAGGATGCTCCATGTGTGTGTGCGGGGCGGGTAAGAGGGGGGAGACTGTCTTTAATCAAGTGAGATTGGAACATTCTGGGTGCAGAGCTGGAGAGGTCTCTGCTCAGTGTCTTACCAACGTGACCTGCCATGAATCCGCACGCCACACTCCCACCTGCCTTTGATAAGCCTCCTCACTTTCTGAGAAGATGCTGATCACTTCCATCTGGGGGCTAACCTGGAGCCCACCAGTCAGCGAATCCCAACATTCACCAACCTCCCCTGCCACCTGTCAGCGTGACTGAAGCCCCACTGAGCTTTCCTGTGTGCTGCTGCTTCAGCACACCCAGGAGCTGGCCATATTGATGTCAGGAGCAATCCAGAGACCCCTCATTTCAATAACAAGTCCCTACTGTGTGCCAGGCCCCCAAGCTGAGCATCAGGAACACGGAACAGGAACAGTGTTTCTTATTTGTCTTGAGAACTCCTGTTCTCTCGAAGGTCCCATAAGCCCCAAATTCCTCAGCCCACTCCTTGGAAAGGCTGCTTGAGGAAACAATCGTGCGACTTTACTATGGAGCAATTTATCCACACAGAGAGACAAAGATAGAAAGTGGAAAATGCTTTTGCTAGGAAAAAGTCAAATGACACAGCAGGATCACAACAATATAATAATAATGTAACACGGAAAGGAAAACACCAAAACAAAACATGATCATTGTGTTAGGGTAATGAGATTACCGGTAATCTAAAAAGTGTTATTACATTTTTCCTAATGTTGTTACATTTCCTTTTCAGTAAAAAAGAAAAAGAAAACCAGCGAGCCTGCATCCTGGAGTCTCGGAAACACCGAGACTGGCAGGGTCACACTTACCCTTGCCCAGGGTTTTCAGGTCTATGTCCTCCAGGTACTCCAGGGCTGCTTTCTGGGGCTTGGACAGAAACATGTCTGTGTTGGCCAGCAGCAGCGCCACGGCTGCAGCCCCCAGGGCTCCTGCACCGATGGACCACATTCCCATGGTGAAGAAACTTGGGTCCTGGAGGAAGGACATTTCTGGAGATTGAAAGGAAGAAAGAAAACGTTACTGCTCCACAGGACAGCTGGAATCTGATCTCTCCGGCCAAGGCTCTGACGGGGCAGCCGGCCAGCAGGCCAGGAGGCCAGAGGAGGGGCAGTGGCCAGCAGCCATAGAGAAACAAGGACTGCAAGGCACCTGCTGCTACCACAGCTGGGGAGCTGGGGCCATGTCAAGAACAGGGAGGTTCGTGCCACAAGGAGCTCATGAGTGCGTCAGGAGCGCCGACAGAGGAACACAACCTTCTCGGGCACTCCTCTTACTCATGTCCCAGGCTGTGCCCCCAGCTTTGTGGTGCTCTGCCAGGCTGTGTCCTTGGGGGCACACAGTCTCCTCATTCTTCTCATCCAAACCTGAGTGTCCCTCACAGCCCAGGCGGTTCAGCTCCTGCCTCTCTGGGTGGCAGCGTTCTCCTCCGTGACTAGAAGACACTTAGAACGCTGGCCTGTCACCCTTTCTTTGCTGCTCCTAGGAGGATCCCCCAGAAACAGGGACCATATTCTATTCTTCAAGCCCACAGCCAGTGCCCAGCAGGCAATTTCAGTAAATGTCTCCCAACTGAGAACATCTTTATTTTTAATTCATTACAGAAATAAAAGAGGTTCTTGTAATAAAAACAAAACAAACCGAAAAGAAGCAACATATAAAAGCCTAGTTAGGAAGAAAGCAAATGTCCCCTGAAGCCTACCACTCAGGGAAAGTCACAGTTGAACACCTGCATCTAATCTGACATCATTTTCCTTTGGGAACAGAACCAAGCAGATACCTGCTGAACGAATGGGAACCGAGATGGAGAGAGCTGGTGCTACGCCAGAGAGAGCGGGAGCTGCAGACGTTTGCACAGGGCAGGGGACTGGCAGGTCCGTCAGAGTCCAGCCTTGTTTCCAGCTGGTGACTGGTTCCTGGCCCCTGTCAGCAGCCTTGTGTCTCTGCGTGGGAAATCCCAGAAGCTGCCCACTCCTGTAATAGCAGTAGGAAGCCCACTCTGCCAACAAGCACGCACTATCCCCATCTTTCCATTTGGCCCGCATGCTATCTAGGATCTGACTCGACTGGACTGGGTGCCTTCCTCCCTAAGCCAGGCTGACTCTGGTGCTTCTTGGACTACCAGGTGCAGGCCTGGGGGTATGTGTGCTCCCCCAACCCCCACCAGCTCCAATCTCAGCCCAGCCCCATCTCATATCCAGCTCTCCCCTGCAGGACCTGGCCAGGAGAAATTTCTCCAAAGATCCAGCTAATGTTTGGAAATCCGCATCACTGCTGATGGAGGGGCCTGTGGGGGTGCCCCATAGTGGGATGGGGGAGGAATGGCTGGCTCTGTGGTGATGACTTTTGGAGGGAAGGGGTGGGCCAGCCTGGGAATTTCAGATTGCAGAAATATAAGAGAACTTCCAAGTGAGACGGTGACCAAATGAAAACAGTATTTAACAAAGAGGAATTTGGCATCCACATGAAGGAAGAGGAAAAAGGTGGGGAGGTCTGTGTGTATGTTTTGGGGAAAGTGGTGCTGCTGTGGCGTTTCTGATACCAGGACTCCAGCTGGGGGAGAAGAGCTCCTTCTAACCTCACTGCCAGAACGTGGTCTGTAGACTGGCGGCAGAGAAACGCCTCACATCAGAACTAAGAAAGCATTGCTGCACTTCAGCCAGACTGGCAGGTGTCTGAGCCACTCGACAAGGACAGCCGTGAGGGCAGGCCAGCCTTGGAGCGCTGGGCCCTTCCCAAGCCCCAGCTTGTTAGCTCATTGTGGCAAGTTAGCAATAGTGACAGAGACCCAAACCCACACCTCTGCCTGCTACCCTCCCTCCTATTCTTCTAGACTCAGACACCTCCTTAAGAGACCTCCCCGGATGCTCTGCCTGCACCTGACTCTCACTGCCGAGAGGTGTTCATTATCCCTCCTCAGTCCTCTGTCCAAACCGCACTGAAGATCCCTCTGCCGTGCTTAACAAATTGGCCTTGACGGTAAGACTTCTCTCCTCTGACTCTGCTTCTCCGTTAATCTCCAGATCTGTGCTAGCACTGTGCACCTTTGCTATGCAGTGGGCACAGCCCAAATGCGTGCTGCGATGAATTCAATAGAATTGAATGATGAAGATGACAACTTAATGGTCGACAGTTCTCGGGCCAAGCAGGAAGGAGGCCTGCTTCCCATTCTTTTTTGTGGCAAAGTTACACATTACAAGATTACAGTTCACAGAACAATTAGGAGGAAATTACTGCTCTCACCAGCATGCTGTAAAAAGGAGATTCCAGAGAGCCTAGGAAAATTACGCACTTCTAAACATCCCTGGGGGCGGGTGTTGTGGCTACAGGGGGTTAAGCCACAGCCTTAGAAGCAGGCATCCCAAATGAGTGCCCGTTTGAGTTCTGTCTGCTCCAGTTCTGCTCCAGTTCCCTGCTAAAGTGCTGGGAAAGCAGAGGAAGACGGCTCAAGTTCTTGGGCCTCTGCCACCCAGACTGGAGACCCAGAAGAAATTCCGGACTCCTGGCTTCAGCCTGGCCCAGCCCTGGCCGTTGAGGTCATCTGGGGAGTGAACCAGTCAATGGATGAAGATCTCTTTCTCTCTCTGTCCCTCCCCTTTTCTCCTAGCTCTTTCAAATAAATAACAATTTTATCTTTTTTTTTTTTTAAAGATATGTTTCTTTAAAAGGCAGAGTTACAGAGAGAAAAGGAGAGACAGAGAGAGAGATCTTCCGCCCATTGGTTCACTATCCAAATGGCTGCACTGGCTGGTGCTGGGCAAGGCCAAAACCAGAAGCCAGGAGCTTCATCCAGGTCTCCCACATGGGTGTAGGGACCCAATCACTTGGGCCATCTTCCCTTGCTTTCCCAGGTACATTAGTAGGGAGCTGGATCAGAAGTAGCGCAGCCAGGACTTGAACCGGCACCCATATGGGATGCCAATGCTGCAGGCTGCAGCTTAACCCACTGCAGCACAGCGCCAGCCCCTAAAATAAAAATCTTACCAAAAATATAAAACATCCCTGGATTTCTGACAGGTGTGTATGGTGCGAGAGTACACGGAGTGGCATCTCAGCACAGATCTGCTAAACATGTCTGCAGCAGTGTGCAAACCCTACAGATGGATTCACTGAGACTTAGTAATCTACAAGCCCAAGAACCCTTATGGTCAGCTTTATATTCTTTCAACATACCCCTGCAAACTTAATGCAATAGGCCCCATCTCTCCACTGCTCATCCACAGGCATTCTGCCTGTTCCCTCATGAGCACAAAGCAGTTCAACTTAACTAAGACTCAACATTTATTCACACACGTTTATTCAGCACTGACTTGTTCAATAAATGGAAATTTGGGAGGACATAAAGTGAAACGATACACAGTCCTCAAAGAGACACAGCTTGGTACACAAATAGCTGAAAAGCAAGTGGGAAGGTGAGGCAGCGTGGGCACGGAGCTATGGCAATGCAGGGCTGTGAACCAGTCTGGGCAGCCAGAGAAACACTCAGAAGGAGGTGGCTTTGAAGCCAGTACAGGGCACAGGAGGCAGGCCTGACTAAGCCCAGGAAGCAGCAAGCTGACTAGGGGCAGATGTTGGTGCCTTGAAAACTCAAGATTTCTATGCCCCAAAGGCCCCCCACTCCTACCTCAAGTCCAAAGGCTATAGCATGGGAGATCTGAGTTTCAAAATTCCTGTGAATTCTATCCAAGCCCCAGCCCTACCCTTGGCTGTGATCCTAAATCATGAGTAGAGTCACCCCTTTGTAGCAATGGCCCTCATCCCTGGTGATGGCACAAAGATATAAGCCTCAGTCATCTGGCTCATTGCCCCAAAGAGAGATAATGTTGGAATGTACCCCTTGCCCTTGAATCTCCATTTGGTCTCATACCCCATTATCTTTACACCCCACTCCCTGCATTCCTCCCCAGGTTCGGAGGCCCTGCAGCCACATGAAAGACCAGTTCCAGACCAGTTCTGAGGAATTCACCTTCATCTGCTACCCACCCCCCCCAAGATGTAAAAAGGCCTGGCCCCTGGGTTGGGGTCTCCTGCTGGGTGTTCTATCAAAGTGCAGTTGGCCACCCACCTCTGTGGATTTATTTTCTCTGAATACATTCAGTCTGGCTGTAGATTTGTATTCTACCTCCTCTCTGATCCGCATCTCTTTTCCCAACATTTTGGTGCCAATCTGTACTCTCTTCCTAACACCCAGGCCCCTACAGCAAGTTAAGCTGCTGCTTGGGAAGCCTGTATCCCATACGGGGGTGCTTGGTTTGAGTCCCAGCTACTCTGCTTCCAATCCAGTGTCCTGCTGATGCACCAGGGAGGCAGCAGGTGATGGCCCAAGTTACGTGGATTCCTGCCACCCTTAGATCCAGTTGGAGTTCCTGGCTCCTGGCTTCAGCCTGGCCTTGCCCTGGCTGTTGTGGGAATTTGGCAAGCAAACCAGCAGATGAAAGGTCTCTCTCTCTCTCTCTTTCTTTGTGTCTCCTTCTGTCACTCTGCCTTTCAAATAAAATAAATAAATCTTTGAAAAAACAAAACAAAAAGAGTAGGAAAAGCTTTAATGTCTAAATATTAGAATGCATTTCAGTAGGGACTTCTAAAACAACTGACTAGACGGGGAGGGAGGCCAGTAAGCCAGGATCCTGTCGGTGCCACTTGACATCTGTGGCCTAATTTCATTCGCTCAACAGCTTTGTGATGTGGGGATTATCCTGTTTTGCAGCTACCAACACCGAGGTTCAGAGAAGTTCAGTCACAACCCCACTGTCGCAGAGCCAGGAGGCAGCACTACTGCAACTCGGTCCCGGGTCAACAGGAATACGACTTCAAAACTCAGTCTTTCTACTGTCACACTTTGCCTCCCCACACATTCAGAAATGCATTTCTAGAGGTCAAGGGAGATCTCTTTAGTCTTCAAGATGGTTAAGAAGATCAGCTTGGTTTCTTTCAGTCATCAGGTTCAGCAAATCATGTTTACTGTAAAGGAAACTTACCACGCACCAGATGTCCCTTCTCTTTCCTCTCCTCTCTGTCCCGCGGAGGCCAGGGTCAGTCTCTCTGAAAGACAAGAGCAAAGTTGTTTACAGAAGGGCCGGCCCCCCACTGCCTTTCCCCACTGCTACCGACCTTATCTGATCTCCCTCTCCCACATGCAAGGTGAAGCAGGCTAAGGCCCCAAGCAAACAACAGCTGTGTAGCCTTCCTCTGGGGAGAGCATGGCTATGCAAGGGAAGGCGCCCAGCTGGGCTCCCTGGGCCAAGCTGGGTGATCCTTGATGGAACAAAGCCATACGCCTCAGCCATTCTAGCTCATTGCCCAAAAAGCAGATATAATCAGAATTTACCCCTTAACTCTGAATCCCAATTCAGCCTCACACCCTGCATTCTTCCCCAGGTTTGGAAGGCAGAGGGGGCTAAGTTGAAGAACCTGCATGAAGAAGCTCACCTCTGCCTACTGCCCCTACCCCAACCATTAGCCCACCTAATATACAAAAAAGCCCAGCCTGCTGGGTTCTGGGCCCTGTGAGGTCTGGCTGTGAGTTCATACCCCTGTCTCCTCTCTATTTCTGCCCCCTTTTCCTGACATTTGGTGCCCCATGTGAGGCAACACCAGTCTGGTCCCCTTTCCCTTGCAATCCCTCTCCGCCCCGGTTTGCTAAGGCTCTTGAAGCTCTCCAGTGACATCCTGTGATTCTAACAGAAAGAGCTCACTCTGGAGACCAGACATTCTTGATTCCTCCCCACTACCACCTCGCTGGTTCCGTTTCCAGCTTGGGGAGCCTGTCTCTTCTTTGCACAGGCAGCTCCCCTGCCCACACAGTCCCTCACCCTACACCAGTCACAGCTGGGAACAGGCACTCACCATCCACTGCGTGCACACCCCTGCTCCTGCTGGCAGAGAGACTGACCTACAGAGAGCAGGCAGCAGGGGAAGGCTGGAGGTGGGGCTCTGGAGTCCCGCCTATGCCCCTAAGCTCTGTTACTCCACTGGCAGGACCAGGCCACCCAGAAACCCTGGGGCTGCCAGGGTTCAGCTGCCAACAGGCAATCTCCAGAAAACATCAAAGGGAGAGCTGCCAAGGCCCCCCAGGACTTCAAAAGGTTGAGCAAAGGTTTTTGAGTCATTTGCAATCATGCAGATTCTAACATTTCCCAAGTGCCAGCTTTCCGATGCAGGCTAATGGAGCGAAGCCCTTAACATAGTCTGTGTGTCACCCTAACAGAAACCAGAGGGGTCCAACAGCCTTTTCCTCCATGGCTTGCTGTGCAGCCTGTGTGCTTGCCAGTTCCTCACCCCTGGCCCAGGCCCAGCACAGGTCCACGGAGGTCCCTGGCCTGCTGTCTCTTCTTTACCACCTTTGCTCTCCCTTCTTTCTTCTCCCAACCCACCCTCCCTTCCTGGGAGCCTCACCTCTTTTCAGCACTTCACCCGCCACCTTGATAACGACTTCCAAGTCACTACTGCTGTTCCTGACCCAAAGTTTCCACTCGGGGGTCTTGTAGGTCTCTCTGTCTCACTGAGTCTAAAACTGACCTCCAGAGCTCCCTAGCTCAGTGACAGACAATAAGCATCTGGCCAACGCTCACCCAGAAACTGAGAGTAACATTTCATTTTTCTTTCACCCTCACTGGCCACACTTTATCAGCCAAGAAGTTCTTCCCATTGCTAAAAATGTGGCTGCTGGCTACCTCTTCTCAACCTCCCTGCTGGAGGCCAAGTCCAGCCTAACCTATCTCAATAACCACAGAACTGAAGGTGGCTTTGCTCTTGACTTCTGTAGTTTATTTTCCATGACATGGCCAGAGCAAGAGCCATCATAACCTCTCCAACCTGATCCCATCCTTCCCTGGCTTCAGACTGGCACTCAGTCTGAACTCAGCACAGCCAACAGGGCCTTGCACAGCTCAGCTCTGGCCCACCACTCAGGCCTCACTCCTTGCCAGATCACTCCATGCGCAAGGCCAGCAAGTGGCCCAGGTCCTTCCTTTCCCCATGCCAACTAGGCAAATGCTGGCTTACCTGTAAGGTCCCACACAAATAACACCTCCTCTCCAAAAGCCTTAGCAACACTGTCCCTCAGCCTTGTCTATACTATGTAGCATATGTGCATGTCCAAACACACACATATTTTTGCATACTGCACAACCAAATAGACTTTGTGTAGCTATTTACACATCTTTCTCCACAATACAGTGCACAATCTGAGGGTAGGGACTGTTGTCTTATTCTTTCCTACATCCTCTGTACTTAACACCAACACTGGTATTCATGGACATTTGATGTCTAATGAAGAGATTTGAATTTTACTCTCTAAACTCCAGTGAGGCAGAGCCAGAAATAACTTACAGATATCCCATTTCATCTCAGTATGGAAGGGCCAGCTTGGTATTGAAGAAAACACTCGGGCTTGGGGCTTCCGTGACCTCAGTTTCGGATCCAGCTCCTCTGCTGGCTGGCAGGGCTCCCGGACATCCTTGAGAAATACGCTCTGAGCCTGGCCTCCTCACCGGTACAGAGGGAGGAACTAGAAATTCTATGACACTGTCGCAGCTGGGACACCCACAGACTTGAAAGCACCATGCGACTGTGACTTCAGGGACCAAACGTCCAGAAGGCCACTGCTGTCCTGAGTGTGCACACTTCCATTTGTTCCCTTCCCTGAGTCTGACTCCGGCCCATTCCAGAAGTTGCCTTTGGGCAGGAACTGATAAAGTCTTAACAAAGCAAAGCATCATGGGTCAATTCATGTCTGAAACAAGTAGGGACAGCATCAGCTTCCCAACGGCAAGGGTGCACCTGCCCAGCCCCACCCAGAGCACCCTCCCTGCTCAGAACGAGCTGACCTGATGCACACGGGGAGGAGGGGCAAGGGAGACCACAGAGGTAAAAGGCGCAGGTGAGCCTCCTTGCCCCAGGCCTTCAGTGCACAGGCTGGCAAGCACATGGCATCTTCCTTCTCTGCTCTCTTCCTTCCCCCTTCTCCTCTCAAAGCTCTAGTTCAGCCTCTCCTTTACGAAGTGAGTAAATGAGGAGAAGGCCCAGAGAAGGGACCTGCCAGTCCCAGGTCATGTGGACAGTGCAGCTTGTCAGTGGCTCCCAACTTCCTGTCCGTGACCCATTTACCCTGTTTTGGATACTCGAGTCCCAAGCAGCCAGCCAGCCAGAGGCCTCTAAGGCTGGATCGCTGTGGGGACTGGGACCCGGGAAGGGAAGTCCTGCGGGTCCTGAAGCCTGCCTGTGAGCCTCAGGGAAGCTGAGAGCGACACAGCTCCAGAGCAGGGCCTGCGGAGCCGTGCAGGGAGAGAGCACCAGCTTGTCCCGAGCCCAGTCCTTGGCCAGCAGCTCATACACCAAAGCCAAATCTTTTCTTAAGGGTCACAATGCCCATACTCAGCTGTGAAGCCATTCTGCCCCTTTCCAACCCACAGTAACAAGGCCCTGTCAATTCTGGATGAGTACAGGGACACAGTGTGATGAGTCCAGCACCAGGGCCCCATGGACAACAGGAGACACCCTCTTACCCACCCTCATCCTCAAGCACTGTGGAAGTAGCCACTCAGAATGAGCACTCCTCTACCTGCAAGTCTCCAGCTGACAGTCTGCCTGGCTCTAACCTCCATCCTCAGATACCAGATTCAGCAAGTTCTGAACAGATCCTCAAAAGAGAACCAGAGGACACATCAGCTTCTGGGAAACTCAGAGATACTGCACAAGGTGAGGCACGGGGGGCCAAGAGGGAGGGGTCTTTTCCTCTGAGAAGTGGTCCTCAAGCAACAGAGGCCTCTGAAAGATCCAGCCGTTCTAGGCTCTGCTGTCTGGACTCAGAACAGCTGCTCTTGATCAAGTTATACGAGCATGGAGAGGAAGTCCTGGTATTGCCCATAAAGGACACTGCACTGAAACAGGAAACTCCTGAATCGGCTCTCTTTACTGTGAGAGGTCACTCAAGCTTCTGTACCTTGGTGTCTTTTTTTTTTTGACGGGCAGAGTTAGAGAGAGAGAGAGGGAGAGAAAGGTCTTCCTATTCCTTTGGTTCACCCCCAAATGGCCGGCGCAGTGTGGCCAGCGCGCTGTGCCGATCTGAAGCCAGGAGCCAGGTGCCTCCTCCTGGTCTCTCCATGCGGGTATAGGTGCCCAAGCACTTGCGCCATCCTCCACTGCCTTCCCAAGCCACAGCAGAGAGCTGGACTGGAAGAGGAGCAACCGGGACAGAATCTGGCCCCCCGACAGGGACTAGAACCTGGTGTGCCGGCGCCGCAGGCGGAGCATTAGCCAAGTGAGCCGTGGCGCCGGCCACCTTGGTGTCTTCTGAAAACACAAGGGCACTCTGAAGGCCGGGTGTGAGAACGGATGAGAGCAATGGAAGATGCAGCAATGCGCTACAGAATTGCAAGTCAGCGTTATCTTTGTCCTCTTTGCCTGCTCAGAAACACACACCCTCCCAGAGGGCAGCACATCTGAAGCAGAACAGAAAGGAAACACTGTGCAACTTCTCCAGCTGCTTCAATGCCGGCCTGCCTCTTGGGAGGAAATGCTAGGTCTGATGGGAACCCTGGTTTGTGTTGTTTGCCCACCCCATGCTACCCCTGCAGCAGCCTAACACTGCCCTTTGCACTACCTGCACCCCACGAGGCAAAGAGCACTGCCCAGTTCAATCTTTCTATGCCAGAGGCCACTGAGCACAGAAGTGAGGCCGGCTCCCTCCAAAGAACCCGTGAATATTCTTGTTACCCAAGCCTTGGCCAAGGGAGACTTGGAGCTACTGCTCAACACTTCACAGAGGCCAGAGAGCTGCCTCATGTCTGAGATGCGGACAGAGCCTGGGCCTTGGAGCCCTGGTATTCCACTCCTAACGAAACCTTCCTGGCATCACAAAAGCTGGTGAGAGAATCATCAGAAATGCCTCTTGTACCCCTTGCAGAAGCTGAAGGAGCGAAACGGTCCCACTGACTGGTACGTCCTTACAAAGGAGGGGGCCATGGGACAAGGCAGACCAAGAATAACTAAAATTTAATTCCTACAATCTGTATGAATCTGAAGAAAGCATTGTTTTGCATTAGTGTGAATGATTTCCAAATCAGAGTTGTAAGAATCAAAGGATAAAATATATAGGAGATGCTCTGTAAGCTACTTACAAAGAGTGCCGCGTGTACGATGCATAATTCTTGCTAATATTTAGATCAATTACTCCTAAATGTTAAATGCACACAAAACAGAGAGTAATTGATGAATGAGTATCTTTTAGAGTCAGAGTTTGTATTTTGAGTCCCAGTTCTGTCTCCAGGGCTGAGCCAAACCAGAAGCACTGAAGTCTCTAGAGAGTGGCTCCAGGACAAGGCTTTTCAAAAATAAATCATAAATAATTACTTTCTTTTCATAAATCATTTGCTAGGCTCAGTGGAAAACACACTAAAATAAAAACAGAAGCAAGAAACGAAGTTTCATTCTAGATGTCTGGGCTGTGGAAAACAGCACGGAGCGACGGAACCGGGGAGAGGGAGCAGCTGCACCTGAGCCCTGGTGTGGTCCGGGGACTCCCGGGAGTGCTCCCTGCGCACGGCCCTCCTCAGCCGCGACCCCCGCCTAATAACCTTCCTCTGAGGGTTCCACCGCCTCCTGCCCTCCCAGCTCTGCAGCAGCACTGACGTCCATCCTTTCATTCCAGATCTCAGCACAAAGTTCTGACACTGACACCTGGCTCTTCCTGTTTTAAGACAGGCGTTTGCCACCTGCGGGGGAAGAGGGTAACAGGTGCAGCTCAGAGTCTGAAGGAAGCTAGAACCGTCCCTTCTCCTCCAGCCACCCTGCCGCCCCCGGCCCACCCCGGGCTCGGCCCTGGCAGTCCCTTGTCCCCAAGGATACAGGCAGCTCGGTGGCTGGGAAGGCAGGCATTCAGATCAGTGTCCAGCCGGGCTCGGGCCTCCGGACCCCTGCGTGCGTTTCTCACGGACTACCGCGCCGTCCTGGAAGGAGCTAGGCCACCGGGGCCTTGCAGGTGCAGCCGGGCGGCCGCGGGCGGACCTCATCACTTCGGCACCCCTACTGCGTACCGTCGACCACCCTGCTTCAGTATTCTCACCTGCGCCCCGGCGGACCGCGCCCACGCGGAGTCAAGCGCTCTTCAGAGCCCGGCGCGCGGGACGAGCTGCAAGTCTCCCCAACCTCCCGCCTTCTCCCTCGCTCCACTCTCCGGATCTGAGGGACCAACGCCCCCCCCCCCAGGGTCCCCAGGGGGCGGCTAACCCCCGCGCCTGCGCACTGCGCGCCGCGCCTCCACCGCGCCACGACCACGTGACCATGCCCCGCCCCTGTGGGCGGAGCTCCGGCCCCGCCTTCACCCTTGGTCAGCTAACAGTAGTCAGGGGCTCCGGGACGTTCAAGTCTGTCGGCCCGTTAGTTGCGCGGCAGGCTGGCTTAGGCCACCTGGGGCCGAAGGGCTCTGGGCTGTTCCGAGGGGATCTGGAGGCATCAGCCCTGTGTGAGGGTGATCGCCTCCCAGTAGGCAGCCTGTTATTGAAGAGTTCTTTGATGGCTTCTGTTTGCTTGGGACAGCGGGTATCATCAGGACTAACACATGGCGATGAGTGGCGTTTCAAGCTACAGGTACAAATTCAGAATCGCGGGCCGCCTCCTCACCCCACATGCCCCCTTTCACCCCTAAATACTGGCCACTGGGTCAGGGTGGCCGGAAGTGGCCTGGAGCCCTGGCTGCTGGGATGCTGACTGGTCCCCTCAGACTCTGAGCAACGCTGGGACTAGCTTGTCCCACATTCGGTCGTCCATCCTCCCTTCATTTATTCCTCCTGTAGTGAGTACCCACTCTGTTGTGTACAAGTAGGTGGTTGGGAGAACATATTTTTAGCGACAGGAAGAGCTGGCGCACAATACAAGACTTAAAAGATCATGGAGGGGCGGGAGTTACGGCATAGTGGGCTAAGGGGCTCCCTGCGATGCCAGCATCCCATATGGGCTCCGGTTGGGGTCCTGGCTGCTCCACTTCTGACCCAGCTCCCTGCTGATGCACCTGGGAGAGTAGCAGAAGATGCCCCAAGTGCTTGGGCCCCTGCCACACTCGTGGAAGACCTAGAAGTTTCTGGCTCCTGGTCCTATCCTGGCTCCAGGTCCCAGCCATTGGGCCATATGGGGAGTGAACTAGCGATGGAAGATCTTTATCTCTTCCTCTCTCTCCCTGATTTTGAAATAAAATATAATAAGTATTAACAAAATAAAAAAATCAATGGAGGGGCAGGCATTTTGCCCAGGAATGGAGTCACTGCTCTGGGCCTCTGTGATTTCCCTCCCCACTCAGCTTCCTGCTAGTGCTAGAGGCAGCAGGTGATGGCTCAAGTGCTTGGGTCCCTGCACCCAGGTGGGACCCAGATGGGGTTTCTAGCTGCTGACTTGGCCCTGGCCCAGCCTTGGTTGTTCCTGATTGTTGTGGAACCAGTAGATGGAAGATGTTTCTGTTTCTCTTCATTTCAAATGAAGTGAAAATAATTTTTAAGGATTTATTTTTTATTTGTAAGGCAGAATTAGAGGAGAGAGATTCACTCCCCTAAATGGCCACAAAACTCGGAGACTGGAGTTCGATCTGGGTCTCCTACACAGGTACAGGGGCACAAGTACTTGGGTCATCTTCCGCTGCTTTCCCAGCTGTATTAGCAAGGAGCTAGATCCCAAATGGAGCAGCTAGGACTTCAGCCAGCATTCATATGAAATGCTGGCATCCCAGGTGATCTCAACCTGCTGTGCCACAGTGCTAGAGCCATCAGTAAACAATTTTAAAAGCGCAGTGGAGCCCAGAGCAGTCACAGGGCTGCGTAGCAAAACAGTCTGACACGGCCGTTGGTTAGAGGTGGCATCTTCCAGCTGTGCGTTCCCACGCTCCCCTGTGACGTGCTTGCTGGTGTACAAAGACCAAAAGCTTCCCAGATTCACCTCCCAGCCTTCCCACTCTACTCTGTAAACAGGGCAAGACTTCAAGTCATGTCATCTATTTAAGGAACCTCTCCTGACTCAAACTGTGAATTCCTTTCCCCTCTAGAAACAGGGGCCTGGCCCAGGACTGGCACCCAGACGTTTTGGGGCAGTACGTTTTAGGAGGGGTGTGAGAAATCAGTTTGAGGATTACAGAAGTAGAAATCTGATCTGAAGGCCAGAAAACATGGGTGTAATTTGGTACAATGTGGGTGTAGTCATTAAAAAGGGACCTATCTAATTCCTGCCTCATTTCTCCCTACCCTGTGAAAAGGGGAGAGGCGGGGGGGGGGGGGAAGCTTAATGTTCTCCGTGTTAAAGTAGGAGATTTGGTCCTACGGAAAGTTTACAAAGAATGCAACTTAGAAAAACAGGAAGCTATTTCCTTGGGATGTGGACCCCCAGAGACTGACCGCTAATGACAGAACCATTCAGGGTTACAGAGAGCAGGATTTGGGAGCGAGAGCTACCCCAAGGCTTCAGCTGTGATATAATTACTAATCGAATGCAAAAAGCCATGATTATATTTACACTTCTGTAATGTCCGGAAGCTCTTACTTCAAAAGCCAAGCTAGATCTGGTAGCTAATTAATATGCTCCTCAGACTCTAAGTTTCTTTCTCCACAAGAAGGCACAGGCTGAGCTCATTAAAAAAACAGTCATAAGACCAGAAAAAATAAGTTGTGGGCAGGCAGGCATAGGAAAGCTGATTTACAAAGCCAAAGGATAAAACAAAAACAAAGAGCCAATCAAAAAAAAAAAAAAAAAAGCCTTCTAAAAACAAACCAAAAAAAAACCCCATCAATATGCCAAGTTTTAGGGAAAAGTGATTGTAATGTTTTAAAGACCATTGACTATCCTTAGATTTTGAATTTAAGTGGGTAGAAATTAAGGTTGACTGGAAGCTTTGTGACAGCTTAAATATTTAAAAACGTAAATGAGTTGCTGTCTGGACAAGGGCTGGAAGGCTTTTCTGTTCCTTATAAATCCCACAGACAGGCAGAAAACATGGCTATCGGAAGGCAGATCTGGGTAAAGGCTTGTGATTCTTTCAGTGTCACAACACCTCTAGATTTGGACAGTGTGGATTGCCTCCTCAGCTGTGACCCGGGCCATCAGTGTAACACAGCTCTAAGCTGATGCCCTGTGTTATCTGAGCTCCAGTTCAGACGGTGGCTAGTAAAGGAGTGAAAATAAGTCAAAAAGAAGTGCTTGACCTCACTGACCCGGGCCCAGATTTCCATTCTGTGGCTGCATAAGAAATCAATAATTGCATGTGCATGTGGTATGGATTGGGTGGGATCTGAGTCTGTCCCCCGAAGGTTCATGTGTTGGAGGCTTGATTCCAGTGTGGCAATGAGGGAGACGGTGGGACCTCAAAGAGGTAGGGCCTAGTAGAAGGCCCTTGGGTCATTGCAGGTGCTGCCCTTGGAAGGGAATGCTGATCTCCTGGAGTGAGTTCTTTTTTATTTTAAAATCCTAAGCCGGCCGGCGCAGTGGCTCAATAGGCTAATCCTCCGCCTAGCGGCGCCGGCACACCGGGTTCTAGTCCCGGTCGGGGCGCCGGATTCTGTCCCGGTTGCCCCTCTTCCAGGCCAGCCCTCTGCTGTGGCCAGGGAGTGCAGTGGAGGATGGCCCAGGTGCTTGGGCCCTGCACCCCATGGGAGACCAGGAAAAGCACCTGGCTCCTGCCATCGGATCAGCGCGGTGCGCTGGCCGCAGCGCGCCGGCCGCGGCGGCCATTGGAGGGTGAACCAACGGCAAAAGGAAGACCTTTCTCTCTGTCTCTCTCTCTCACTGTCCACTCTGCCTGTCAAAAAAAAAAAAAAAAAAAAAAAAAAAAAAAAATCCTAAGCCTAGGGGCCAGTGCTGTGGCAAAGCAGGTAAAGCCATTTTTTTTTTTTTTTTTTTAAGATTTATTTGTTTACTTGAAAGAGTTACACACAGAGAGAATGAGAGGGAGAGAGAGGTCTTCCATGCACTGGTTCATTCCCCAACTGGCCTCAATGGCTGGAGCTGCGCCAATTTGAAGCCAGGAGCCAGGAGCTTCTTCCAGGTCTCCCACGCAGGTGCAGGGGCCCAAGGACTTGGGCCATCTTGTACTGCTTTCCCAGGCCATAGCAGAGAGCTGGATTGGAAGTGGAGCAGCCAGGACTTGAACCAGCGCCCATATGGGATGCCGGCACTGAAGGTGGCAGCTTTACCTGTTATACCACAGCGCCGGCCCTAGCTGCTCCACTTTTTTTTTTTTCTTGGAAATTTAAAATCCCACAACCACTGTTTATTATGGAGCTGACCCCTGATCCGGGGAGGATTTCTGGTAGTGAGCCCAGGCATCGGGGCCTCCAAACTTTTTGGACTCGCAGCAGCGGGGGTCAGCTACCAGCAGGGTGCGGTCATACTGGATGAGGATGTCTTTGAGCTCCTTTTTGGAAGCCTCATCCACTATATATTTTTGGTAATAGGCCACCAGGGCTTTGGAGATGGACTGGCAGATGGCGTAAATCTGAGTCACATGACCGTCACCCTTCACTCGGACCCGGGAGGAGCGCTTTGCTCCACTTCTGATCCAGCTCCTTCCTAATGGTCTGGGAAAGCAGTGGAAGATGGCCTAAATGTTTGGGCCCCTGCACCTATGTGGATGACCCAGAAAAAGCTCCTGGCTCCTGGCTTCAGATAGGCACAGCTCTGGCCCCAATTGTAGCCAATTGGAGAGTGAACCAGTGGATGGAAGACCTCTCTCTTTCTCTGCCTCTCCTTCTCTCTCTGTAACTCTAACTTTCAAATAAATACATCTTTAAAAAACAAAAAACATCATCTTTTCCTCTTGCTCACACTCCCAGCATGAGTCCATGAGGTCCTCACCAAAGCCAGGCTAATGCTGGCACCACGCGCCCGAATCTCTAGAACGGTAGGTTACATAAGTCTCTTTATAAAGTTAGCCTGCCTCAGGATTTTGTTGCAGTAGTGGAAATCTGACTAATACAAAACTGCAAAAATAGATGAGCACAGATCAGCTCTAAATATCTTCCCTACTTACCAATATCCCTAAATTCAGCTCTCTATTATTTAAAAAAAAATTTCTTGAGAAGTAAAGAGAGAGAGATTGAGAGAGAGAGAGAGCAAGCTTCCATTCATTGGTTCACTCCCCAAATGCCCTCAGTAGTCAAGGGTGGACCAGGCTGAAACCAAGAGCCATGAGCATCCTCTAGGTCTCCTGTATGAGTGGCAGGGACCCAGCTACTTTAGCCATCACTGCTGCCCCCTAGGATTGTCTTGACAGGAAGCTGGAGTCAGGAGCCAGAGCTGGGAATCAAACCCAGGTACTCTGATATGGAATGTGGGCATCAATAGCCAGGCAAAAACACTCCTGTTTCTTATTTTTTTAGAATATGAAGAGACTCTGCTTGTGTGGTGTACTTCACAGCAAAGTCTGTAGGGCCTTCTTTCTAGAGCCCTGCATATAAGTGGACAGTGGTTTACCATGTGAACCAATGGCTGATGGAAGCCTGGCTGTGTGTGACCCTCTGTCTCCAGAATGAGTACCACAGGGCTGGCTGAGTGCTCTCACTCTTCATCATTTGTGTTATCAATATTATTTACTGAGGTAGGTGTTGTGGCGCAAT